AATTCATATTGGGAACAAGATTGAGAGAACTAGGGTTTTTACTTTTCTTGTGCTAGCAATAATATGAAATTTCTCTTTACAATTTTCAAACTCTAACAGCTTATTTATATAAATCCAAATGACGTGGCTCGTCTCTCTTAAACTTAACACTGTCCAATTTTAATTAATTCAATTAATTAAATATGGTCTATGAATTAATTAATTCAGTTCGAGCCTATTAATAAGCAACTCAATTAATTAATCATCCAACACTTGTCAATCAAATTAATTGGTAAATCTCATTCTTCAAGTTCTCTTTTTGTATGTGAGTCATTAGGTTCACAGTCACGATACCTAACGACGTGAATTATTCTTTTGATCTAATCAAAATTAATAAATTAAAATATCCATTATTAATTTATCACTAATTCACATTTGTCGTCTTTGACTTTTGAGTACATCTTGACCAAGGATTTCGTTATCAACTTAATTGAATGAAATGTAGATCATAATCGCTTACGAATCCTCTATTGATTATTAACAACCTTAATATGATTTTTGACATACTCGAACGATGCTGTATTAGAGATCCTTGGTAGAACAACATCCAATATCACCAAATTATAACCGTCGTCATGTAAGGCATTACGATGACCTCAAGTCAAAAGATCAATTTTACTACCAAACGTTAGAGATTAACCACTGACACTCAGATAATTATTCAGGTGAAATATCCCAGCGGTTCTCCAATATTTTGTTTTATAACAAAATATCTACATATTCATTTAAGTTTCTTTAGCTCGTGAGATCTACTTACTTTAAAAGTAAGAAATGCCACACGTGATGATCTATCCATAATAATGATATTCATATCTCTTTATTACTTACAACCACGTATGATTTAAGATTCAATCATATGTAATTTGTATTTCACAATCACAACTCTCTGTGATTAAAAAATTATCAAGATTTAAATTCACGGACTCTATTAGTTAATTTAATTGAATATTAATTAAATAATAGATCTACCATAAAATTGCATTAATCATATTTTAAAAGTGCTTATGTTCAAAGTTAATTGGACTTTGGGCATAACACTTATAGTATTATCATCTTATAATTAAATGTGGCTTTCAAGAACCCAAAGAGTAAACAAAACAGCACTGTCTTGGCAGTTTAAAGCCTGAAAGACGTAGAGTTGTCGAACTTCTACCTTAGTGGTGTTTAGTTTGTAAAGTGACAATGAAGGTAAAAAGACGACAAAAGGAAGCTTCTAGACGTTCTTTAATGAGGAGAGCTATTTCAACAGAGGACATGTTTCTTCTAATCTTGCAAATTCCTCTACTACTTAATGCTCAAAATGAAAAATGAAATGCAGCTATTTCTGAAGAAGAGACCTCCACCAATTTTAGCTCCAAAAAATATTAGAAGTGCTACGGAAATTGCCACATTGCCTGGGAATGCCGAAAATCACAAAACTTTTACTCTTACGAGGGAGAAGTTATTTATGCAGATTGTGGAGTTAACAATGTCAAATATTTTACATTCTGGTTACACTTTCATTGTTAAGTATGTGGTGTAATTATTGATGGAGTCAGTTACGGGAACAATTTTCAGAAAAAAATGAAAAATTAAAAGAAATTGAAGATCGATATTAGATATGGAGAAGTTGTCTTTCTAAAAAGAAATTGAGGAAGAGTCCTGTCTCTTTCTAAAGAGGCACAAACAGATCTATATGCAAAAATGACTTTTCCCTTTCCTCCTCCACGTTTGATTTAGTAGAAGATATGATTGTTGCAGAAATTGTTGTAGGAAATTGAAAGGAACCAAAATTCATCAAATCTTTTCACAAAATTTTCATAAATGCTCCATGTTGAAATCAAAGAGAAGATTAAAGCAGAAGCGTACCTTGATCCATGGATTTCAGTGCTTTGATTCGATTTTGATCTTCCAATTGTTACGTGATCTTCAATTTTCTTCTCTATTGATGAAGATGCGGAGAACTGTAAAAATTCACGTTCAATTGGGAACCGTGACCCATATTAAATAACTACAAGTGACAGTTATCAATTTTGGTGTTATTTCAAATGAGCTCATCATCAATTCAAAATCACTTCTTCCGATCTCTACACTTTATTCCCATAACTTTTAATACCCATTAGTCCAAAATTAAACTTAGTAGATCACTTTACGGACTAAATTACTTTAAAATAGCACCACACATTTTAATATAGAAACATGTATGGCCCCATATGTTGGAATTTTGTTTCCAACAATTGTCATTTTCGTGTTTAAGAAATCAAGTATAAAGTCTTACATCATTTTTTGAGCTTAGTTTTGCTAGTACAAGGTATAAATATCAAAGAATTTAACTTTAAGTGAACTTGACGCCGAGTAGGATAGTAATTATCTTATTGACTTATTGTAGCAGATGATTCGCAAGAAAAGAACAACAGAAAACGCCCATAAAAAACAGAGAAAATACTCTGAATTCAACTCAATATTATTAATAATGCAGAATGATGAAAACTAACCCACAAGTCGAGTTAAATAGCTGCGAAATACGAAATTATGGAAAAATTACCAAAAATGGCAAAATCCCAAAATTATACCAAAATAAAATATTGAGCAAAAGAAGTAAGTTGCCAAAAATTTGACTCAATTCGAGTTTTCTAACGTATGGAAAAAAGGAAACGAAATATTACCATAAATAGTAAAAAATAACTTAAAATTGAATTTTGAAAAGGAAAATAGTGGATTTTGGGCTCGAAATTGATGTCCACCAAGCTTAGTTAGGTGGCCACAACATGCGCGCCGAAGAGAGCTTTCCGAATTGGGGTCATAATAGCGATTCCGATAACCGTAGCCAAAGTTATGGCCAAATTACCAAAGACGCGTCAAATTCCCCCAATTAAGGAAATAATGTTGATTCACTTTCCATCTTTGCGTCGATCCGCCATCTCATGGTATCTCAGCGCCATCATCGTGCTATCTGACAAATGAGCATCACTCGACTAGGATCCTCCTGCATCAGTCGCCCCGGGTTGGAAAGAACTCGCCCTCGAGTTCACAGTAACTTCATCGGACTCCATAAAACAAGGGCTTAGGTGTTTTACATTGAAGACGTCAGAGGTCATCAAATGGCTTGGGAGGCGCAATCTGTAAGCATTATCATTGATCTTCTGCAGCACTTCACAAGGTCCAATCTTCCGCTCCTTTATCTTATTGTATTCCGCAGCTGAAAAACGATCACGAGTTAATACTGCCCAAACAAAATCACGAACATCAAACAACACCTGGCATCGATGACTATCTGCCTGAACTTTGTACTTAGTATTACTTTCCTGTATGGATAGCTTCACCTGCTCATGGATACCTCGAAGATGTTCAGCCATCTCATCAGCTTTGTTATTGAAGCGACCCACACGTGGAATTGGAGCCAAATCAAGTACTCCGGATGGGTTTCGACCATAGACAATTTCAAAAGGACTCAGTCCAGTGGTTCTATTCCTAGACCGGTTATAAGCAAACTCTGCTTGAGGTAATGCCAAATCCCACTGCTTCGGTTTAGTCCCGGCTAAGCTTCTCAAAAGATTTCCCAAACTCCGATTCACCACCTCAGTTTGACCATCTGTTTGGGGATGGTATGCGCTGTTAAAGTTCAATTTCGTTCCAAGTTTCTCCCACAGACTCCTCCAGAAATGACTCATAAACTTAGTGTCACAATTCGAAGTAATTGACTGTGGAACACCATGTAAACGCACAATCTCTCTGAAATAAAGATGAGCAATTCGAGTAGCATCCATTGTCTTTCGGCAAGCCACAAAATGAGCCTTCTTTGAAAATCTGTCAACCACAACAAGAATGGAATCCATCGCCCGCTGTGTACGAGGTAAGCCCAAGATAAAATCCATACTGACGTCAAACCAAGGAGCTTCAGGTATGGGTAATGGTGTGTACAATCCAACATTACTAAGAGCCCCTTTAGACCGCTGACATACATAACACCGCTCCACATAATGCGCCACATCACTGCTCAACTTGGGCCAGTAATAATCAGAAGAGACCAATGCCAATGTCTTGTCTCGCCCAAAATGTCCTTCGTTATGAAGTTCACTAATAATCTGCTGCCTTAGTGAACAATCTGGAATGCATAACTGCAATCCATGAAACAGGTAACCATTATATAAAACAAAATCATGTCGATGATTATCAGTTAGCTCCCGAATTATCTTCCCAAAATGAAGGATCCGCAGCATACATATCAGGAAATACCTCAAATCCGACAATCTTGGTGCTCATGGTGGTGAGGAGTAATGTGCGACGGCTTAATGCATCTGTTACTTGATTCAAACTCCCTGCTCGATGCCTGAGTGTGAAAGTAAACTCTTGCAGGTACGCCACCCACTTTGCATGTCGCCTACTCAGCTTGTGCTGACCATTGATGTACTTCAAAGCCTCATGATTAGTAACAAGGATGAACTCCCTCTATACCAGGAAATGGTGCCAATGCTTCGGAGTTTGAACTACGGCATAGAACTCTAGGTCATAAGTGGAATAATTTTTCTTCGATCCCAATAGCTTCTCACTAAAAAAGGCTACTGGACGTCCCTCCTGACTCAGAACACCACCAATGCCAACTCCAAACGCATCACAGTTTACCTCAAATACCTTTTCAAAATTCAGAAGTGCCAAGACTGGGGCCTCCATCATCTTCTGCTTAGCCAACTGAAAGCTAGCCTCTGCCTCCTCAGTCTACTGAAAATCACGCCCTTTAAGGCACTCTGTGATAGAAGCAATCAAGGTACTAAAGTTTCTGATGAATCGACGATAGAAGGATGCCAATCCATGGAAACTCCTGACATCATGCAAAGTTTTTAGTTTCGGCCAATTCAAAACTACCTCAATTTTGGATTGATCTGCATGAACACCATCAATAGACACAACGAAATCCAAAAAAGTTACAGAAGTTGTGAAGAAAGAACACTTATTCTGATTGATGAATAAGCGCTCCGTCCTCATTACATCAAAGACAGCACGAAGATGATGTCATCAAAATAAACTACCACAAACTTCGCCATGAAAGGCCGTAAAACCTGATGCATAAACATCATAAAAGTGCTGGGTGCGTTGGATAGTCCAAAGGGCATGACCATCCACTCGTATAACCCATGCTGTGTCTTGAGCGCGGTCTTCCACTCATCTCCAGGTCTGATTCTGATCTGGTGGTATCCACTTTTAAGGTCAATTTTTGAGAAGACCTTAGAACCGGACAATTGATCCAACATGTCGTCCAGACGGGGAATTGAAAACATGTACTTCACTGTAATCCTGTTAATTGCCCTACTGTCAACACACATACGCCATGACCCATCTTTCTTCGACACTAGGAGAGCAGGAACTGTACAAGGACTCATACTCTCACGAATGTAGACCCTTTCCAATAATTCTACCACCTGTCGCTGCAACTCCTCAGCTTCCTTGGGGCTGAGGCGATATGCTGGTCGGTTTGGTAGACTCGATCCCGGAATGAGGTCGATCTGATGTTGAATGTCCCTCATAAGTGGTAGTCCTGGAGGAAGATCCTCCAGCATCAAGTCAGAAAACTCCATCAGTAGTTGCTGTACTTCTGCTGGAAATTCTGAATCCACATTCGCTGTACTATTTTCACGAGGCATTAAAGCATAAACTATTTTTTCACGCCCAACCTCAACCAAGAACCTGGACATCGAAAGTAGATTGGGGTTTTTAACTACCGGGGCAGGGGTGTTTCCTTCCCTGCGAGGCACCAAAACAATTCTCTTCCCTTTGATGCTAAGAGAATAAGTATTCTTCCGCCCATCATGGATAACACTGCGATCATACTGCCAAGGTCGTCCCAACAAAACATGACACGCACCCATTGATACCACATCACACCAAGCATTATCAAAATATTTTTTTCCAATCGAGAAAGACACTAAGCATCGTTTTTCTACCGTTACCTCACTGCCTTTATTCAGCCAAGACAACTTGTATGGTTTGGGATGACAATCCATCTTTAGTTGCAGTTTCTCGATAGCCTCCTCAGACACTACATTCTCACAACTGCCACTATCAATTATTAGCTTACAGACTTTATCAGCAACTGTGCAGGTTGTGTGGAAAACGTTGGTCCTCAACCAATCATCCCCTGAGTTGCCCTTGGGAGTTAGCAGGCTCTTTCGAACGACCAGGGTCTCCTGACCATCTCCACATAGTACGTCCTCATCTTCACCCTCATCATACACGGGTTCCCCAACTTCCTTAAACTCATCTATCATATCCTCCTCAATCAGAAGATTTTTATTCTTCTGACCAGCAGGCTTCTTGCAATCAGTCGCCCTATGCCCCTGTTCACCACACCTAAAACACTTAATACTTGAGCTGGAACTATCCCGCTGTGGCTGATAAGCGGGAAGAGATTCTTGAGAGCGAACTGGCTGACTTCCTTTACCTCTGACCACTGGCCTCCTACTTTGCTGTTTCTCTACTGCAAGTGCTCGTTGATATACCTCAGAAACTGTCCATAATGAATGAAGGCTGAGAACATCCTGCAGGGGCTGCCTTAATCCCCCAAATACCGTGCTACCATCTGCTCCTCCGTCTCAGATAAATCATTTTGAGCCACCAACTGATAGAATTTTTCAGTATAATCATTGACTGATCTTGCACCTTGCCTTAGTGAATGAAGCCTCTAAAACAAGGTTTGAGTATAGCCGAAAGGGAGGAAGTGCCATCTTCTTCTTCATCTTCTCCCAGTTAATAATTTTGGATTTCCCCTGTCGCTCCCGTGAACGCTTTAACTGTTCCCACCATGTAGATGCCCTACCTTTAAGTTTGATGGCGACCAGTTTCACTTTAACACGATCTAGAACTTCCTTATATTCAAAAATCCGCTCCACTTCATTCAACCAATCAATAAATCCTTCAGCCTGTAACGTACCAGAAAACTTGGGCAGATCCACTCTGAAATCGAGATCCACATGACGATCCTCCCGTCCACGATGCTCCCAAACTCGAGCACGATGGTGATACGGGTTTTAGAAACTGGTATCGGAATCGTGACCTTCTACATCATGATTACCGAACTCCTGCTCCGCCAAACGTTGGGTTAACTCCGCAACTTGTCTCTGCAAATCTTCAATCGTCACATCCTGAATATTACGATCACGGTGTTGGACTTCCTCAATCGGAACCTGTCCTCGACGACCACGACCACTTCCACCAACCATTCTAACTGATGGAATTTATCTCCCAAGAAGATGCTGACGCTCTGATACCAACTGACGCCGAGTAGGACAGTGATTATCCTATTGGCTTGTTGTAGCAGATGATTCATAAGAAAAGAACGACAGAAAACACCCAAAAAAATAGAGAAAATACTCTGAATTCAACTCAATATTATTAATAACGCAGAATGATGAAAACTAACCCAAAAGCCGGGTTAAATAGCTGCGAAATACGAAATTATGGGAAAATTACCAAAAATGGCAAAATCCCAAAATTATACCAAAATAAAATATTGAGCAAAAGAAGTAAGTTGCCAAAAATTTGGCTCAATTCGAGTTTTCTAACGTATGGAAAAAAGGAAACGAAATATTACCATAAATAGTAAAAAATAATTTAAAATTAAATTTTGAAAAGGAAAACAGTGGATTTTGGGCTCGAAATTGATGTCCACCGAGCTTAGCTGGGTGGCCATGACGTGCACGTCGAAGAGAGCTTTCCGAATTGGGATCATAATAGCGATTCCGATAACCATAGCCAAAGTTATGGCCAAATACCAAAGACGCGTCAAATTCCCCCAATTAAGGAAATAATGGTGATTCACTTTCCATCTTTGCACCGATCCACCATCTTATGGTATCTCAACGCCATCATCGTACTATCTGACAAATCAGCATCACTCGACTCGGATCCTCCTGCATCAGAACTCAATTGTACATAATACTATGCGATAGCGGTGTTGAATAATGCTTTAAGTAAAACTATAGAATTCCTTGAAATCCGTCTCTATTATATGATTACGAATCAGACAAATAAGTGTGGCCCATTCAAACTTTTTCACCTTTTTTTATCTAGACAAAACAGTCCAAGACTCGTCATTTTCTACGGGGCTTCTACAAGCCTCACTAAAGGGAAATGGGCCAGCACTACCTGCCATTTGGACACCTTTAAGAGTATTTAATTGACATGAAAAAAATCACCTAAAAAAAAAATATTTTTTTTGTTTTGAGAAAAACAAAAACTTACTCCCACCAAAGAAAATATTTTCCTTAATAACAAGAAAAATTAGGCATATCTTCAAAAGTTGGAAAATACTTCCAATGAAAAAAATAGCAATCAAACACTCCAAAATGGGAATTTGGATGAAAAAGTGACATTTTCCATAACGCAATCGAATGCACCCTAAATGTTACTTCAACGAATGTAGACTACATGAGACCATGGTACTATCACTATGGTGGTGAAGATGTCCACCACATCGTTGGACTCTACAAAGGACTGCCAACGGTTTGTCAAGAACTTGTAAAAGGTAGTTGTCGCAGTTTGGATCTTTGGAGGGAGTATGGATAGAACCTCTGGAGCCAACTCATCACTCCTTTGAGAAATGGAGAGCTTAGGGCGAGGACCTACATCAGATGTATTGAATAATGCTTTAAGTGAAACTATAGCATTCCTTGAAATGGGTCTCTATTCTGTGATTGTGAATCAGATATTTTTCCAAACAAAACTTCCAAATGAAGACGCAAAAACAATCGATGTTTTGATAAGCTTTCTTGGTTTAATAAGAGTAAGTCAAGTAATCATAGTCTACTTCAATTTTCAATTGGATAGGAGGTATGTAGATGAAGTTATTTATGAGAATGAGATTGTCTGTAAGATGAGTTATTTTTGGCACATGGTTTGGAGGATGTTTAAAACTTGACAACAATTTGTCGTCCTCAAACTAGTGGGTAAACTGAAGCGGTCAATAAACGTTTGAAAAAGCTTTTAGTGATTATAGGAAAAATATTCATCGGTGTGATGCGCTTGTAAGTAGTTCAAAAATCAAACCAATAATTGTAGTCCATTTGTAGCCATCTATAAAAAATCTCCACTAGTCCCTTGAATTTATTCTGGCTAAAGTGATCAAGCACAGCAGATTAAGGAGATGGATACACAGATCCAGGCGCAAAAATGAGAGGTGTCGCAAGCAATGGTTGATTGATAGGCTAATTAAAATCATATGCTCAAAACTATTGACTTTTGAACAGTAAATGTCTTTCCTCAATCTCCATCTTCTTCAATTGTAAGACTGAGAATATGCCTTTATTCAAATAACAGATATTGCCCCAACCCCATTTGTGTTGCAACTTTGATATTGACAATATTAATACTTTTAAGTGACCTAAAAACCTTATAAATTCTAGTCAACATCTTTACTGAATCGGCCTCAGTTATAATTTAACACAAATAATGAAATAAAATCTAATAACATCTTCACAAAAAAAATCTACTCATTTTGTGCAATTCTACTCCAGGAACTCATCAAATTGGCAAGTCAAAGTCATCAGAGAGAGAGAAGGCACCTGGATTCAAACTCCTTGATCTCCGCAAGTTCTTTCCCTAAGTTGTCCTTCCATTGAACTTTTCTCTTATCAATCTCGTTGGAGGCATCAGAGGGATTTTTAATACAGCTCTTAGGTACATACTCAGCATCAAGCTTTCCATTTAAACTCACATTTTTTACCTTAGTGGTTTCCACAGTTAACTTATTATCAGTGGCATCAGAAACAGTAAAATTTGTTGAAGGTACGTAAGTGTAGGTTATTTTCCAATTTCAATGTCCCGGCAGTGTAAAGATGAGCAGTAGAGGGTTTGCAAAAGCAAATGAATGGACAGTTGATCTTGCAAAACAAAATCCTCATGAAAATGGTTTCCTTCATTAACAATTCTGATCAAAGCTGAAGAAGAAGCCAAGTGATGTGTAGTAAAACTAGATCTGCAAATTCTCTCTATATTATCTCACCCGTAAAATGAATTACAGACCCTGTTGGGAATCTACTTATACATGCACAGCGAAATTTAAAATAATTTTCGATTCCCACCAAGAATCGCCTTTGTGTTTAGATAGAAATTGTGATAAGATTGTACCTTTTCCAGATCTGCAATCATTTTGCTTTTGATTTTGTTCCACAACTTTGATTCGCCACCACAGCTGTCCAATTGTCCAGCCTCCAACGGTGATCCACACAGAGAATATGATTGCAGCCTCTAGGGTTTTCTCTTGTGCTAGCAAGAATAATGAAAACCTTAATGGACCTCAAACCCTAGTTATGTATTTATATAAACCCAAACAGGCTCTGCCCGGTCCGGTCCAATAATTAATTAATCCAATTAATTAAACCCGGTCCGTGAATTAATTAATCCAATTAATTAATTCGAAAATATAAATAACAAATCCAATTAATTAATTTATTCAACGATTGTTAAATTAACCAATTGGCAATTTGCAATCTTCCAATTCTCTTTTGTGTGTGACCCATTAGGTTCCCGACCACGATGTCTAACGACGTGAAATATTATTTTGATCTAATCAAAATTGATAAATTAAAACCCTTTTAATTTATCATCAATTCACATTCGCCGTCCCTGATTGACATCTAGCAATGTGTCAGGGCAATACATGTGACGGGAAATGTCACGTGGTATGACAAAACCAAATTCGTTCGTTTACCGTGAAACTATAATCCTTTCGTCAATATGATCCGATCAATTACGAGATATGGAGTTGTGGCAATCTCGATCATCGATCATATCTTTCACTCCACTATTAAGTCAATATAAATCGAAAACTCCTTTTCGACTTATGAGTACACCTTGGCCAAGGATTTCATCATTGACTTAATTGAATGAAACGCAGATCATAATCTCCTACTATCTAAGAGTGACGAATCCTTTATTGATCAATCACAACCTTCATACGATTCTTGACGTACCCGAACGATGTCGTATTAGCGGCCCTTTTCAGAGCAACATCCAACACCGCCAAAGTATGACTGTCCTCATATAAGGTACTATGACGACCTCAAGTCAAAGGACCAATTTCACTACCGAACGTTAGAGATTAACCACCGACACTCAGATAGTTATCCATGTGAAATCTCTCGACGGGTCTCCAATGTTTTGTTCTATAACAAACATCCACGTGTTTATTTAAGTGTCACCACACTTTAACTTGTGAGATCAGCTACTTACTTCACAAGTAAGAAATGCCACACGTGATGGTCTATCCGTAATAACGATATCCGTATCTCGTTATTACTTACGACCACGGATGATTTAAGATTCAATCAGATGTAATTTGTATCTCACAATCACAACTCCTTGTGATTAACAAATTACAAATATTTGAATCTACGGACTCTATTATTTATTTAATTATCTATTAATTAAATAATAGATCTGCCATTTTATTGCATTAATTATATATAAAAGTATTTATGTCCAAAGTTGATTGGACCTAGGGCATAATACTTACAGACCCAACTATATAGAAGACAAAGCCAATAAAAAGGTGACAGCTCACCTAACAAACTAACAGAAAATGAAGAGAGAAAACACGTGAAAAATGAAAAATAAAGTCAACAAATTCATTTTTACTATAAGTTATCCACATCAAGCATACCACCATCAGAAAAGCAAAACTTTGACTTGGAAAAACTAAAATAGGAGATTTTCAAGATACATTATGCCCGAAGATGATTCTTCCCCAATGCTCAAAATCGTAGATAGCATTATTTTAGAACTCTTTGCCACTCCCCAATTCTGCAGTTAAGATAAAAAATTGAGATCTTTAAACTTAAAAAATAAAAAATAAAAATAAATAAAAGAACTGAAACTTTAAATGTTAAAAAATTTTGAACGTTTTTACTGAAAGAAAAGACCAAGTTTCCAGAGGAGGGAAAAGAAAAAGATTAATGCATTCATCTGAACTGGATGATGATGGAATAATGAAAGGCAGGAAGAATCTTTAGAATGAATCATAAAGAACACAATGCTAAGCCGGATTGCCCAGCTTGCCTATACATATTGTTGACCCTAAAAAATGTTACCAACAGATGTCGGACCCACCCCAGCACACATAAATGAAAGTCCAACACCCAAAGACACGTGGATGGTCTAAAACGAACAGATTAAGGGTGTGGGAACAGCTCCACGGCGGGGGATGAGAACATTCGAAATCCGA